TGGAAAACAAGGAAGGGGACCCTCAACAAAAACTTCTGGTCTTTGATCAGGAACTTTCAGCCATCAGAATTTTGAAAAATAAATTTCTGTTGTTAAAGACACCCAGACTGTGGTATTTTATTATGGTAGCCCAAACTGCCTAACACATGGGACTTTATTCCAACAATGCAAGGCTGGTACAATGTTTGAAAAATCAATCAATGTTATTCATAATACTAACAGGTTAAAGAAGACAAATCACATAATCATATCATTTGACACAGAAAAAGTATTTGACAACATCCAGTGTCTATTCATGATAAAACTACACAAATTAGCAGAGGTGAAATTTCTAAACTTGATAAAGAAAATTTATTTTAAAAAACCCCTATAGTTAACATCATACTGAAATACTGAAAGATTGACTGCTTTCCCCCTAAGATTGGAAACAAGGGAAGGATGTCTGCTCTCACCACTGTTATTCAGTATGTTATATTGGAAGTTTTAGTTACTGCAATAGGCAATAAAGAAAATAAAAGGTAAAGAGATTGATAAGGCAGAAGGAGAACAATCCTTATTTTGGGGGGACATGATGGTCTACATAGAAAAATTTTAAGGAGCTGCATACAGCAGCACACACTTGTAATCCTAGTGACTTGGGATGCTGAGGCAGGAGGTTCACAAGTTCAGCCTGGGCAACATAATGTGACCTTGTCCCAAAACAAAAACCAAAAAGGGCTGGGGGTCTGACTCTGTGATAAGAGTGAACCTGGGTTCAATCCCTAGTACTACAAAAATCAAAAGAAAAAATAATAAAAACAAAACTACATAATTCAGCCCAGTTGTAGGAATATAAGATGAATGTACAAAAATTCACTGTAATTGTACATACTAGCAATGAACATATGGAAACTGAAAATTATAATTATAATACCATTAAAAATTGCTCAAAAATTAACATTTAATTTAAATCTAGCAAAACATACAGGACTTGTTTGCCGTAAACTACATAATGCTGATGAAAGAAATCATAGAAGATCTAAATAAATGAGAAATAAGAAGGCTTGACATTGTAAACATGTCAGTTTTCATCAAATGTTATACAGGTTTAACTCCTATGAAAATTCAGCAAGGTTTCTTATAAAAATTAAAACAGCCACAGCAATTTTGAAAAATGAAGAATAAAGTGGGAGAAATCAATTCATATGATTTTGAAACCAGACCTAAACCTTACATCTTATACAAAATTTATTCAAAATGGATCATGCACTTCAATGTAAAACTATAAAACTATAAAACGCTGTTGTGTGTGTGTGGTGCTGGGGAATGAACCTAGGGCCTTATACATGTCAGTCAGTCATAAGTCAGTTTTATGCATCCCCAGCCCTAAAACTGAAATTTGTAAAAAATAGGAGAAAATCTTTGGGATATACAGATAGATGAGGAGTTCAAAGAGATGACATTAAGCACACGATCTAAGCTGGGGACAGTGGTGTAGTAATCCAAGTTATTCAGTAGGCTGAGGCAGGAGGATTGCAAGTTTGAGGCCAGCCTTGGGAACTTAGCAAGATCCTGTCTCAAAAATAAATTAATGAAAAGGGCTAGAAATGTAGCTTAGTGGTAAAGCACCCCTGGGTCAAATCTCCAAGACAAAAAAATTAAATAAATACTCCAATTAGAAAATGGGCAAAAGATATGAAAATACATTTCACAAAAAGGATATATGGGGCTGGGGTTGTGGCTCAGTGGTAGAGCGCTTGCCTCGCACATGTGAGGTACTGGGTTCGTTCCTCAGCACTGCATAAAAGTAAATAAATAAAATAAAGGTATTGTGTCCATCTACAATTAAAAAACATTTTTTAAAGGATATATGGATGGGAAATTAGGAAACTCTGTCAAAAACCTAGACTTGGGGGTGGGAGTGAATGCTTATAAAACCAGTGACTTGGGAGGCTGAGGCAAGAGAATCTAAAGTTTGAGGCTAGCCTGGCCTCGGAAACTTAGCAAGATCATCTCTAAAAATTAAAAAAATTTAAAGGATTGGGAATAAAATTTAGTGGTAGAGTGCCTCTGGGTACCAAATAACAACAACAAAAACAACAACAAAACAACAAAAAAATACCCTAAAGACTTAGATCATGTCTGTAAAAGGTCTGTTTTGGAATAACTGCACAGCATGGGGCAAAATAAATGGTCTAAATATAGATAGTACTCAAAAATGTTAACTGATCCAGGTGTGGTGGCGCACGCTTGTAATCCCAGTGGCTCAGGAAGCTGAGGCAGGAGGACTGAGAGTTCAAAGCCAGCCTCAGCAATAGCAAGGCTCTAAGCACTCAGTGAGACCCTGTCTCTAAACAAAATCCAAAAAAAAATAGGGCTGGGATGTGGCTCAGGGTGGAGTGCCCCTGAGTTCAATCCCTAGTATTCCCCACAAAATGGTAACTGAACTTATTTGCTTTTGAAGATTAAATGAAGTAATATTAAAAACTAATTCTTCATCAATGTTCTAAGATCATTTCATACCATACAGATTTTTCACATTTTTATTAGTGAATTTTAATTATGCAGAATAATGGGTTTCATTGTGACATTATATGTGCAGAAAAATTTTGATCATACTCATCTCCTCCTCCCCCAATCCCTTCTTCTTCTCTAATAGTCTCTGTGTTACTTTCAAGTTGTCTTTCTTTTTTCCCCTAGAGCCTACATATGAGGGAAAACATGTGATACTTGTTTTTGAGTCTAGTTTACTTCTTTTAACATTATGATCTTCAGTTTCATAATTTTCCTACAAATGACATGATTTCATTTTTCTTTATGGCTGAATAATACTCCATTGTGTATATATGACACACTTTCTTTATCCATTCATCTACTGATCAGCATCCTAGGCTGATTCTATACCTAGGATATTGTAAATTGTGAAATGAAAGGCCTGAGTCTGCAGGTATCTCTATAGTATGTTAACTTTAATTCCTTCAGGTATATACCCAGGAGAGGTATAACCGGATCATATGGCTAAAAACAATACATTCTACCTAGCAAGTACAACCAGGTCCAAATTTCATTAAGGAATTTAATATGATCAATAATTTAATATTCTGCTTTGTTGTCCAATTAAAATTAAGGGTTCATATGACAGGGAAAGAACTATGGGAAACAGAAGAGATTCAGCAAAAATTCATGGCACTTAAAATGGTTAAGTATTCTGAATTCTCAGAACAAATATTATAGCACCAAAGTCTCATATGAATTAAGGAGTGCATCTCTCTCCTTGTGAGAGAAGGCTAACTCTTTTAGTCTCTAAATTTAGTCTTTTCTAAACTGTTCCTCTATTCTTGTTACCTGACTTATTTGATAGATATTATTTTTGTGTGTGTGGTGCTAGGGATTGAACCCAGGGCCTTGTGCATGCAAGGCAAGCAACTCTACTAAGTGAGCTATATCCCCAGCCTGATAGATGCTATTTTAAAAGTGGTACAATGGACACCTTCCATTTAAGTTGAAAAATTAAAATCATTGCCATTGTACAGATAATTGATATTGACTTGGAGTGTCAATGGAATGAGGATTGTTAGCTCAGCACCAGGGCTGCTACAGTTATACAAAAATACAGACAGCAAAGACAAGAAAATGCTCAACTCTTGTGTTCTTCATGATGCTATTCTGATATTTAGGAGGGAGGAGAAAGTGTTGATGATGAACTAGTGAGACATGGGACATGTTTTGAGCAAGGCTCTGAAGCTTTCTTTAACAGAATGTGGATAGCCTCTTGTGGGAGGGACAGCCTGGGCCCTGGTTTCTAGAAGTGATTCAACAAGCAGTTCTGGAGGATAAAACCTGGTGCTGAGAGCAGAAAATTCAAGGATGTTTATCTCTGACCTTTAAGAACCTAACGTGGTAGAAATAGATGTACAATGAGATCAACTATTTCTCATAGTAACTAGCAGGTCCTACCAGCCCCTTTATCTGAAGCTGTATGATCTACTTATTCATTTCTTCATTCACTCAAACTTTTTTTTAAAATATTTTTATTTTTTAGTTTTCGGCGGACACAACATCTTTGTTGGTATGTGGTGCTGAGGATCGAACCCGGGCCGCACGCATGCCAGGCGAGCGCGCTACCGCTTGAGCCACATCCCCAGCCCGCACTCAAACTTTAAAAAAAATTTTTGTAAATATTTATTTTTAGTTGTAGTTGGACACAATACCTTTTATTTATTTATTTATATGTGGTGCTGAGGATCAAACCCAGGGCCTTGCACATGCTAGACGAATGCTCTACCACTGAGCCACAACCCAAGCCCTCATTCACTCAAACTTATATTTAATATTTCACTTCATAATAGCCATTATGTGAAGCACTGGGAACACAAAGACAAGTAAGACAAAAATGGCTTCCCAAAGTAGCCATTATTTCTGAGGAGCTGAAATTATACTTTTTCTGGCAGAAAAGTCCTTCTCTTTCCACAAAACCAAAGACCATTTGTACTTCAACTTCTTCTCAAGTCTTTGCAAATGAAGGCCATATGCTTATAGTCAATCCAATTATTCCAATACTCCCCTTTCATTTGGGCTTATGCATTTTAGAAACTGTAGGCTTTGGCCCTCTATTGATGCCATCACTATGATGATCCTATTATATGAAGCAACTTCCCAAGGGAAAGTTATTAACTAATGCTCTATTTCTCTTTTAAGACTAATAAATGCTATTGAATATTGAATCAGACTTGGAAATCTTGCTCTTCAAAACCCTACCATCATTTCAGATTGAATTTCCAACAGTTTCATCCTATAAATGGGCTTGCATTATATTCTTGAACAAATGAGCTTTACTTTAACTACAGATCCACCATGACCTGGTATAATGTGCCTGGTATAATGTGCCTTAGTGAATTGGTAAGCATGTTATGTGACTTTGCATTATGTATGTGTAATTAGTCACTCTTTCTCCCCAAGCAGCATACAAATAACATTAAGAGCATTAATTCCCTAAGTCAAAGGTACAAGCATGCAAATACCTGACAGAAGGCTGTGGAATATTGTCTGGACTGGCTGGTACCTGGACTCCCTTTTCCCATTCTTCTTTCCATGTGTCCGAAAAGAGGTAATAGCTGTCAGGATTGACGTGATGAGAATCTGGAATTTTCATGGCACTGATTAGGTCCTTCCGGAATACCTGGGAAGATATTGCACATGCCTTGAGAAGTTAGTTCATAACTATGGATCTAATACCATTTAATGTTCTCCTTTTATTTTTGTATTTTGGGAATTGTGATTAAACCCAGGGGCCCTTTACCACTGAGCTACATTTCCAAGCCCTTTAATTTTTAAAATTTGAGACAGGGCCTCACTATGTTGCTTAGGGTCTTGTTAAATTGCTGAGGTTGGCATCAAATCTGTGATCTTCCTGCTTCAGCCTCTCAAGTTGCTGGGATTATAGGTACAAGCCACCACACCCAGCTAATATTCTCCTTTTAAAAAGGCCATCCCTTGTCCTACTTCCTAAATAGTCAGACCAACTTCTGTTTGAAAAGTTTTGAAGAACTGAAGGGTAGCTAAGCTTTTTTGGACTTAATAAAGAGTAAAGGAGTCCTTCCTGAATTATTTTCTTGGGCTTATTAAATTTAGATTAACAATATAAATTACTCTAAGACAGTTTGCATCAAATAATCCTTAACTCTCTTAAAACTAAGAAACAAATATTAACTGATAACTTATAATTGTTTATTTGGCCATTGGCTCATTTACTTAGAAATAATTCTACACCTATAGAAACATTACAAAAACAGTAAGAGTTCCTGTACATCCTTCTTTTAGTTTTGTCTAATATTAACATTTTAAATAATCCAAGTACAATGAGCCAATCAAGGAAATTAACATTGCAATACTACTAACTAAGCTATAAACTTTACTCAAATTTCACTAGTTTTCCCTTCAATGTCCTTTTGTTCTAGAATTCAACCTAAGACCTTACATTGTAATAGTCATATATCTTTTGGTATCCTCCAATTTGTAAATTTCTCAGTCTTTTGTCTGTCATAACTTTGACATTTGATGAATGTTGATGACGTGTTTTGTAGTATATCCTCCCAACTGGGGATTGTCTGATGTTTTCTCATGACAGATTGAGGTTCTATACTTTGTGCAAGAATACCACAGAAATAATGAGTCTTCAATCCATTATTACATCAGGAATGTATGATGTTGATGTGTAATTTCTGGTGATGTTAAACTTGGTCATTGGTTCAGGTAGTGTCTTGTTGTTGGTTTCCTCCAGTGTTAGGTTACTATATTTCCCTTTGTAATTAAATACCTTAGAGAAGATAATTCGAGACTATATTCTGTTTTTCCTCAAATTGCCATGGACTAACTTTAGAGTCCATTGGTAGATATCTTGCCTCCAACAATTATTACTATGGTGTTCTAATAGTGATTTTCTATTTTCATCACTTCCTTTATTCATGGAAATCCCTCTATAGTGAAGATCTGCCAATTCCTCATTTATTTGTTCAATTATTTATTTAAATCATTATAGATTCATAAATATCTAACTCTTTGGGTTATAATTCAGTATTAATATTTTCTTATTTAAATTATTCCACCTGTGGCCACAGGGTGTTTTTTCAGATTGGCACCTGTGCAATTTTGACATCTAAGGCTCTAAAATAATCTGATTTCATAGGTACCAAATACTGGGATTATTTGGTACCTATGAAATAATCTGACCTAGTGCCATTTTTGTGGGGGTACTTCCTTAATAATTCTGTCTACTTCTGTGGGAATTGCCCTTTTAAAGCTCATTACCTCTAATGGGGTCAATTTTGGTAACCTGTATTTCCACAGGAAATTATCTATTGTATCTAGGTTTTCAAATTTATTTGCATAGTGGCCTGTAAAGTACAGGCAGTCACACTGTGCGCAGCAGTGTGGGATCATAGAAATGATAATGCTGAAACTATGAAAAGAAATATTATTTGTTTGATGCCAGGGATTGAATCCTGAGCCTTGTGCATGCAAAGCATGTGCACTACCACTGAGTTGCACCCCAACCCTATTAATTTCGCCATTAATAATTAATGGAAAAATTATGATTGTTTTGTGACTTCTAAACATTTTGTCAAAACATCAGAAGCTTTTTTAGTGCTACTATAATATATATAGAAATAAAAAATAGAATTGATATTTAATATACTATAATTAAAACATGAAAAACATTGAGAATTGAAGTATTTTATTTCTCTGTAGACAAACCTATGAAGACTATGTTGAGCCAGGCACAGTGGTGTGTGCCTGCAATCCCAGCTACTTGGATGGCAGAGGCAGATAGGTCACAAGTTCAAGGCCAGCCTTCACAACTTAAAGAGACCCTGCCTCATAAAACAAAAGGGGCTAGAGATGTAGCTCAGAGTTAGCTTGCCTTGCATGTGCAAGGCCCCAGGTTCAACCCCCAATACTATACAAAAAATAGATTGGTTTATAATATTATATACAACAATGTTGTTTATAATATTACTACATAATGGAAATTACTGATGTTTTCTTTATGATGATTTATTTTTTTGTTTACTTAATCTGTCTGATACTTTGAGAGGTGCTTTTAAAGTCTCCTATGATTAGTATGTCTCTGTTTTTTGGATCACCTGTATATTCTGTTTCATAAAGATAGTTGCTGTGTTATTCAGTGCAAAAATATTCCTAAGCACATTTTCATGGTGAACTGTAGATTTTAGCATTGAAATGTCTCCTTCTTTTTCTTTGGGGCTTGAATTCTACTTGGTCTGATATCAGGATCACTACTCCTGATGTTTTCATTTCCATTTTTCTGGTATATTATTGTCTATCTCTTTTATTTTTAGCCTTTCTGAATAGGTGTTGTAGGTATGCTGTTATATACATCATACAGTTGGGGTCTCATTTTGTGAGCCACATGAAAATACTTTTCTTTAATAAGTGTTAAGCCTATTCATATCTATTGGTATGATTCATTTGTTTGGTTTTTAACTCTATTGTATTTTAAATTATATATATTATATTTTCTACACTTCTTTGTCTACCAGTTTTGTATTCCTTGTATATGTTTTAAAAATTTGTAGTGTCATTCTAGTTGTTATCTTTATACTTAGAAATTTAAAAAATGTCCTTAATCTCATCTTTTTTAACTGTTTACTATCAGGTTTACCAGTTTTTATCACTATCAGTGAATACCTCAGGGGCAAGGAGATAGGAATAAATGTACTGTGGCAGCCAAGAGGCTCACAGTGATAGCCCCAAATTCACTCCTTCCAGGGAACTATAACTGTGTGGAAAGTTCAAATGTTAAAGGTAGGGATAATGACAAATGGGTATGTATGGAGCTACAATTCAGACTATAACTGATACTCTGGTTCCACAGATCTCTGAGTGACTAAACTGCCACAGAAGCCTCAGCTTTCTGATTCTGTTTTTTCAGCAACTGAAAGAGAGTATATCATAGATTATTAAGCTAACTTGGCAATGATTTCAGTGATGATGGCCCAGTTAACATCTAAGTAATAAGGGAATACATTTTCACATGGAAGCATGTATGCATTGATCTATACTTCACTTACTAATTTCTACTATTAAAAAAAACATTAATACTTGCAGGTTGAAGATAAATGTGTCCACATTTCTGAAAAATCAAAGGAAGAGATGCTATCAAGCAAACATTTTAGCCTTTAATGCTTATCAAGGTTTTCTAAGGAGAACCACTCACCAAGTTCTATGTAACATGAACATAGAAACACAGAGTATGATCTAATAAAGCAATTAATTCTGAGGAAGTGCAGTTCTGTTTAAACTGATATCGTTTCACACAATATAGGATTGAATTATCATATAATCAAATGATGCCATTTAAATGAATAAAAGCTCATTCCATTTACTACTTTGCAGGGGACAATTCTGCAAATGCTTGTTTATTTCACTTAGGGAAGATTTAAAATAAATATGACCAGAGCAAAGTAGAGAAGGAAATCTACCTTGAACATGCAAATGGCCAAGGGGCAACAAAATGACCTTCCTACCAGGAATCCTGGCCAATTAAAGTTAATTGGGTGCTGCAAAGGGAGAAATCTAAGTCTACAGGAAACAAACACTGGTGGTTTATTACATAATGCTTTGTTTAAGTGGGTAAATCACAGACATATTCATTTAACATGTTCTGCAGAGAGCTCAGTGTTCTGAGTGACTAGCAGGAGACACTGACTCATCATTATGCTGAACACTCCAATCTATTTCTATAAATTACTGTTAATGAGCCAGTGGTTAAGTAGTGATGGCAATTTACAATTGTACTAAACTAATGTCTGGGAAAATGACAGTGCTGTGGCAAATTCTACCTTGGATCTGGAAAGATTATGGAAGACAAATATTTATTAACACCCCAAAATATTTAATTATTTTCCAAGTGACACTCTACAAACTAAATCAACTGATTATAATATCATGCTTTGGGCTTAATAATGCCATACCATCTAATCACAAAACAAAGAGACATATCTTAAAACTAACATGTCTGCTTATTAATTTCTGTTCTATAAAAATGTTTTCTAAGTAGCCTAGAAACATATAATAATGGGTTGAATGGATATACACAAAAGGTATGTTTATATCTTAATTCCCAGAACCTGTGGATGTTACTTTATTTGGGAAAAGGGTCTTTGTAGATGTTATTAAGTTATGGATCTTGAGATGAAGACATCATTCTGGGATATATGGGTGGACTCTAAATGGAATGATAAGTGTCCATATAAGGAAAAAGCAGGGGGAAATCTGAGGCAGTGATTGAGTGATGCACTGATAAACAAATCAATGAATGCTACCAGCTTCCAGAAGCTAGAAGAGGCAAAGAATGGTATCTCTCCTAAAGACTCTGGAGAGAGTGCAGACTGGCTAACTTTGTTCTTCTGGCTTTTAGAACTGTGAGAGAATAAATTCCCATCATTTTAAGCCACCTAGTTTCCAGCAATTTGTTAAGGTACCCCAGGAAACTAATATACATATTTACGGAAGTGTAACTTGAAACTATAGGTAGATATAAAAGTAGAGGCCAATGACATCTGGCCCTGTTCATGGCTTCAGAAATACCAAAACTCCAGGGAACAGACACTCTGTGAAGTCTGGGAAACCTCAAACTGTAGAACACCAATTCATACC